TCCTTCCTTCCTTCCTTCCTTCCTTCCTTCCTTCCTTCCTTCCTTCCCAGTGGTTAGAATGCAGTGTTGCAGGCTAATTCTGCCCATTGCCAGCAGTTTGATGTTGATTGGCTCAAGGTTGACTCAGCCTTCCGTCCTTCCAAGGTTGGTAAAATGAGGACCCAAATTGTTGGGGGCAAGAGGCTGACTGTGTGAATCACTTAGAGAGGGCTGTAAAAGCACTATATAAGTCTAAGGTCTATTGCTATTTGCAACCTTCAACCAAGCAAAGTCAGTGGGGAAGCCAGATTCATTTAACAGCCATGTTCCTAACTTAACAACTGCAGTGATTCACTTAACGTTTGTGGCCAGAAAGATTGTAAAAGGGGCAAAACCTATGTCTCGCTTAGCAACAGAAATTTCGGACTCCATTATGCTCAGAAGTCAAGAACTACTTGTATATGCTGGTGCACACATAAGAGATTTACGATGAAGTGACTCGGAGTCCAGCATTTGAAGAGACAGCTTCGGTCCATATTAATGCAAACACCCAAATCTCCCATGACAGAGTCCTTGGAAAATCCTCATTGTGTCTCACTTCATTTGACTGGACTTGTCTGCCATCTAGCGGACTCCAGTAGCTTCAAGACCTGTATCTTTATCATAGTCTGTCCTGGTATTTTCTCAACCCTGCCAGCTTTAAGAGGTGTGGACTTCCACTCCCAGAATTCCCCAGCCGGGATTCCGTTCAAAGCCACTGGAAATGTTGTGTTTCTCTGTAGAATTATGTGCCATATCTGCATCTTACGGCAGGAGCATAGTTTGATGCTTACCTCTTGACTAAACACCTCTTATAATATCAACAAGGAAGATGTGTCCGTAGACCATGTGAAATCTGTGCTTGGTGCCTTTGGAAGGCCAGACAAAGAAACCAAAAGCACAAATATGAATACTTTTATTATAAGGTCATAGTAAAAAGAACCTTGCAAGTCTAGAAGCAAGTCCCCCTTTTCTATCCTTAGGTTTCAGAGAAGTAGGGAGGGTCATTTCTGAGATTCTTTGTCCATGCCCAATTTTGGGTTCAGAATTTTCTTCTCAGGCCATTGTCTAGGCTGCAGCTCTTCTTCCTGTCTCCTAAGGTTGTCCTCACTTTGGAAAACTTGGGAAGAGTGAAGAACTTTACATCTTGAGCAGAAATTCTATGTCAGAGAAAAGAAAGTTGGTTGGGGGGGGTCATGTCAAACTCTCAAAGTCTACTTGGAAACTAATGATTGACAACTCTGCAAATTGTATTTCAAAGGATTTGAACCTGGTCACCACCAAATTCAAACAGTAACTTGACTCCAGGAAGAGCCAGTTTAGTCTAGTAGTTAAAGCATTGGGTTAGAAAGGAGACTGAATTCAATTCCCACCTTAGGCATGAAAGCCAGCTGGGTGATTTTGGGCCAATCACCAGGAGACTGTGAGTTCTAGTCCCGCCTTAGGCATGAAAGCTGGCTAGGCGACTTTGCGCCAGGTACTCCCTCAGCCCAATCTACCTCACTTTGTTATTGTGGGGAAAATAGGAGGAAGGGGCACTGCCTTATTTAGAAGGAGGAGGAGGAGGAGGAAGAGAAGGGGAGGAGGAGGAGGAGGAGGAGGAGGAGGAGAAGAAGAAGAAGAAGAAGAAGAAGAAGAAGAAGAAGAAGAAGAAGAAGAAGAAGAAGAAGAAGAAGAAGAAGAAGAAGAAGAAGAAGAAG